GCAGCTCCTCTCCATTTGGGGCCCCTCTTCCTGACGATACAACCTCAGAACTTCTTGTATATGCTCCTCTGGACGATGATGACCTCCATCTCGACTTCACCATCCCAGCTAAGCCTGATAAATGACGCCCCACCCATCTCAGACACCTACAAAACCCTCCCCACCCTAGGGAGTCTTGGGCGACTTCTTGTATCCATTTTTTGCAAGTATGGCCTTGCGCGAGAATGGATTCGAGTCCTTGAGGCGATGGAGGATGAGACGGTGCTGGGGGTTGATGTAGCTGGAGTTGCAGGTTGAACGGGCTTGTTTTCCATATGTGAGGTGGCCAAGCGCGGCCTTTTCATTCTTTGTGTCAAGTTGGATGTATGAAGTGACATTATGAATGGGTATTTTACATGAAAGAGACATCAGACGGGGTATAGGACGTGGTCTGAGGTGGAGAAGGATGCCTGAGCGCGATTGTCCTCGCTTACTTCAGCCGTCAGAATTGTCCGAAGCGCGCGGAAAGCATACCCCCCGCTTTTTGCACCGTGGTATCCCAGACGTTTACGCCGGCAAGCCCCGATTTGGGTTTGTCGACGAAAACGGATGGGTTGCCGAGACTAGTAGTGCCACTACACTGGTCCTCGATGACCGTATTGGTCCAAAAGAACAATCTCAGGTCTATTTCAAATCAAAAAAAGAAACAGAAAAAAGAACATATTCAAGGAGCCATATGCACATACAGCAGGCTGAACGATATACAGCGTCGCATCCATACAGCCCAAAGGGCCGATGTCGGCCAAGCCAACGAGTCCAACCCATCAAGGGACCTCCCATACGTCAGGCTAATTACTCACTCAGCAGAAGGGGTGCACTCTTATTTTCAATTTCAAATTCGCATCTGGTCCCGCGGACCAACCAGAGCGCCTTCAAAGCCAAGATACAGGGACAAGTGGATCGCAAGAAAGATAATGAACTGAGATCGGCGCATAGACGCATACGCAGCCGACCTTGACAGCAGCAGGGCTGGTACAAAGAAGGCCCCAGGACCCCCGCCTGTCCAAACTTGAACCCAACAACTTTAACCGCACCGCAAGTCCAGTGGGAACCCCACCAAGGCATGACATTACGCTTCGTTGTATTACCAGTAATGAGGGTGACAATAATTAGTAGTAGTGATCCTGAATCTATACGCATAAAGCAAAAGCGCTCCTCCTCTAAGAGACATACTTTTTCCTGTGCTTGAGCTCCGCATATGGGTCCGGTTTGGGAATACGTCCATATCTCGGTTCTTCCTGACCTGTAAAAGAGAAGACACCAAATCAGCTCCAATTCTCCAATCCACGTAACGACCGGGCGCCAAAGACCAGCCGAATAACGACGCGAAATCCACATACCAAGCACATCCTTGTAAATCTTCGAAACCTCTTCATCCCACACCTCTCTGAACATGTGCAATCCACCTCCCGTGGACGCGTCCAACCCCCACGTCTGACAGAATTGTCTAACGTTGAACCCAAGCCTCTCCGCATCGCTAACAACAGGAATGTCCAACTTCTTGGAGGTGGGGACACCAGGGTTAGCCCTTGCCTCCACATTCTTGGTATATTCCCCTCCTTCCAAAGGAGGTTGGGGTAGAAGGAGCACCGTGTACCTATGATACGGTGTTCCACGTTGGGGGTGGGGCGGGATGTACTTTGTGTGGTTGTTCAAATCGAGGATTTGGGAGGTATGGGTGGCAGTGAGTGGAACGTTAGGCCTGGAGAACGTAACGTCAATAAATTCCAATGGGTATCGCGGAGAAGACATTACGCACTGTAGCCAATGAAGATAGGTGGTGTAAGAAGCGGTGGACTCGTCGGGGACATCTGAGGGCCGTAAGCAAACTACCTAAACGGAAATACAAAGTGGTGCATACCGGGATCGACGAGCATAAGGGTATAGAGCCTGGTATCCGTATGGAAAACATTGGCGTATAACCGGGGAGGCTCAACGGTCTAACGGAGCAATCAGCGGCGAGAACCTTCAAACACGCAGGGGGACGGACCAGTCGGGGGGCCAAGAACACTCCAGGCTCTACCAACTTGACCGTCTTGAAAGTCGGCGTAAGTCTGGACGGGGCTTGGGTGGCGAGGTGTAGGTCAAGTGATGGTCGAATAACGGGAAGGACGTCTGGAACGACTTTCATTTGGTAGATACGTTCCATCTACGATAACGATTAGAGAAATGTCGTCCTTGATATGCACAACGCTGAACTCACCAACAAGTCAAGGTCACCATCCTTCCTCCACTTTTGCTCAACAAGATGTCTATGCGAAGGGATATTCATGTCCACTTCACCAAGAATTAGTTCTGCAAACCCAACAAATACAAGTAACGCTCACCCATGGCATTCGCAACCTTCCACCTCACATCCGGCAGATTAACTTCACTCTGCACTTGAAGAATATGCAACTTCTGCCTCTTCTTCTCCAACTCCAAATCAAGTGCATAGGCCTCTCCATGCTCGTTCTTGCCCTCCACCTTGACCAGCTCCTGGTACCTCTTCTCCTCACTCTCAATCGCCTTCTTTAACTCTGCAATCTCCTCCTTGAGCGCAAGACTGTCCTTCCTCAGGACTTCGAGTGCCAAGTCATAGGCGGGGATTACACCGGACGCGAGCGGAGGGTTCCATGGGCGAGGATTCTGGTTCGAAATCGTTCTCCGTCGAGGGGCCGACTTGACATTTATCCTCCCGCCTCCCATACCAGTCGCGCCATCTTGCGTCGTTGCACTCCCGGCGGCAGCGGTCGAGGTCGGATGAGGCGGATGAGTAGCGGCAGACTTGAGCTCGGAACCGGTGCTCAGCGTCGCATTGCTTCGAAATGCAAAGGGGCGGACGGTCCTCAGCAGCGACCGCTGAACGACGAACATGACAGTTGGAAAGAAAAAGACAAGGGAACGAGACTTGTTCGCTGCGTTGGCGACCCGAGTCTCGATTTTTTTTGGACGCGAGACCGTGACGGTATCATTTGGCTTTATTTGTCATCAATGGTGTACAGCCACAACACCAACTGTGGGCGCTTCAAAGTTGCCAACTCATGATCTTTGGTTCATTTCTTTTGGCTCACACGACAAGTTGCGGATAACGAGTTCTATTTCCACAAATCTACTACTGTAACATCGTGATAGCACAATCGACCAGAGGTATTACAAGGAGCGGTCGATATAAAGTGACAACAAGGTGAAATCCCGTCAATGGGACATGGGGGTACATAGAGAGCACAAGAGCAAGGATAGACAGGTAAAGAGAGTTCACCCCATAGTGAGGTGGAGAGGCATGAGGAAAGGCGGGGTGGCGCGGAAAGTGGCAGTCGACCAAGGGGAGAGAGAAGAGCGTCGTGGTCGACAAGCCAAGAAAGAGAGTCAGAGATAAATGGTAAGATGGGGGGACATATAAGTGAGTGAATAAAGATACAGTGAGGCGCCCCAAGTCG